CACCCCCGTGTTATAAAAAAAAAAACAAGTGGGCTCCCCCAAAGTCCACGGTATAGTTCGAACACTGGTCATAACCCAGGGCTTATGTTAGGGATCATGTACCTTGACCAACACCAGTTCCCGAGACATGAAAGATTATGCTCTCATTATGAAATACTTCCACCTATAGCATTCAGTCATGTGCCACTTGAACTTTCTAATAAATATTTAGCATGCTTTGCCCAACCCAAATTATCGTGTTTAGGTTAGAATCTTGTTTACAGTCTCCTGAGAGCCATGTTGAGATTGTGGTCCTGGCATAGATGTGGAGACAAGAGGGAGGGGATGAGATTTTTACCCACCGTTGTACTGACAGCGACCACTGCAAACCGCAAGGTTTCAATTACCATCATGTGACGTGCAGGAGGCAGACACAAGACTGTTTTTTAAGGCGAGGGATGGTGTAGCTTACTATATCTGATACTGAAATAGCCTCCCACCAGGTGCAACTTTACACATATTCTCCGGTTACATTAATCAAAACACAGTTGATAAGGTGGACACACATGCAGAAAAAGTGCAGATTCGTCTCTTTTCATGTTGCTTGTTTTGTCTGTCCTCAGAGATTAAACAATAAAAAAATAAATGTTTTGTCTCTGTGCAAGGCAATGTCTCTTTACATGTAAACATTCAGAAGTTGAGAGCTCGTATGTAGCAGCGGTCAGTTGGGAGAACTTCTGCTGTCACGCAGTTGTGTGCTTTTCCCCGTCTCTAAGCTGCAGAAGTACATGATAATTGAAAGGTGTTAGAATTCACACCCGCACAACAATCTGTTTACAATTCTATGCTAAATACGTAGGATTACATTATTGCAGTTGAACACTTAAGAGGACAATTCAGGAAAAGGTAGTTGCAAGGCACTTCTGGCAAGTAATATGAAGTTTTGGCATGCAAATACATTACCAAATATGTCACAATTTCTGGCAATCCAACCTTCACAGAATCAACAGGTGGCAGTTGATAGTTGACCACCTTCAAGGACTCACCATTTTCCTTTGGTTACTCAAGCAGAAGGTACAGATGGGTCGGACTGGTGGAGTTTTGAGGTTGGTGTTGCTTTGTAAGATGTTGTGATATTTCAGACACGGTTGCCCATCCCTGCAGTCCTCCCCTAGCAGAAGTACATTGGCCAAGTGTGAAATGTAGCTTGATGCCAATCGCAGGGTCTCGATTTTTGACAACTTCCTGTCGGCCGGCTCCGTGGGGATGAGGGTACGCAGAGCCGTGAAGGCAGTGTTGACGCTGTGTGTGCGGTCTCGCTCCCGAGCGTTAGCTGCCTGACGTTGTTTGCTCACCCCTGCAAGTCTACGACCCCCTCTGCGTCTCCCCGCCTCCCTGTGGCCCTGCATGGGGCTCCCAGCTCCGGTGGATTTCTCCGAGCTTTCGCTGCCACTGTCGAGCTCATCAGGGTCGGAGGGCAAGCTCAGGGTATCGTGTGCAGGATGCTCGTGTTCCTCTGTGGTGGACTTCATGGCGTGCAGAGACAGACCGGTTGTTGTTGGTAGTCCATGGTATAGATGCTGGCTGCCCATGGTGCTTTAAGCTGAGTGAAAATAGCAGCCGGGGGGCAGCTGCGTCTGATCCGGTATCCAGAGATCTTCCGTGGCCCCATGGCACTTCAGCATGCCATTTCTTGAATGACTGTTCCCTTTCTGGATTTGTCCGCCACCATGTGGCTATGGAAAAGGATGGACAGGTGGAGCTGTGGGGGGCCACCTGTCATGCCCCAAAGAAGGAGGACGTTTGAAGATATATAAATAAGTGCACGCACCAACACACGGATAGGGATTTTGGTGTTTTGTTTTTTTTTCACCTTTGGCCTGAAATATTTGGGTACCGGGTCCTGTGGGTGACCTTGTGCAGGTCAACAGGAAGCCAGAACGGTAATCTGATCTACCTTCTCTGAGAAGACCCACCTCGTTTTTGTCCCTTCATTCTGGTCCATTCATCCCTCGCTGCCTGATATTGTTTGCTCAACATTTCATGTTCTCTATGGCTTATAAATTTCTTTGTATATTATATAATTTGTATGCAATAGCTAAGCAACCTTGTTCTGTTTGACCCAGCACTAAATTTAGCTCAGAAAATTTTACAGACAGAGACTGTTGTCGTTGCCTGTAAAATTTGTATCACATGGGCTGTGGGTCACTCCAGGTCCAACAGTTGTTATTTTACTACACACAGGGGGCAGTGTTTCAAATCTGACAGAATGTAATTCAGAACACCTGTTTGACATGCTAGCAATGGGAATAACTGTGAAGAGAGTTCTTGGAAAAGGTTTTACTCAAATCAAGGAGTCAAAATCAATTTGTTCTAGGTAACAGCAATCATTTGCTTGTAGGTGTAGCTACTCAACATTAGGGTTCTGACGTTTTCTAAAAGGAAAGCTACTTTGCCAGGAGTTTTAACATCCACACCAACACCACAAGAATCATGTAAGTGATATTCAAACCAGTGAAAGTCTTTTCTCCAGTAACTTAAGTTAATGTTAGCATTTAGCTCACAATAGCAGCACTGTATAAGAGTGCTCTCTTGTAAGTCAACCTGTTTCTCTCTAATGCCCTGTCTGACTGAACAGCCCAGGTGTGTTCCTGTTTGTCACATTCACGTACTGTGGTCCATCTTTAGAGGCAGTAAAAATATAGTGTTCACCATACCTGTATTACATTGCTGCTTTGTTTGTATGGTAGTTTAGGCAGTGGTTTTGAAATTTTTGGTTTATTTATTAACTCTGTTGTGAAAAAAAAAAAAAATTGCTTGATGAATTTGATCTTTAGTCAGATTCTATGATTTACTTAGCCTCGGCTCATATTTTTCAGTATTCCCCACTAGATGTCAGTAGCACACCACTGGAGATTGTTGCTCCAGCTTTTTAAGGCAAGGAGCACAAGTCTAAGAATTGACAAGAATATAAGTGAACTAATTAGGCATGAAAACAAAAATAGGTTTCAATGCACCGTTGCCATATTAGAGGTTCCAGTATGGAAATTATTTTATGAACCATCAAATCTTGATGTATAGAACATGTCAGTGCTTCATTTAACCCTAAATTGCTATTGACTTCCTTTCAGCCATTTGGTAAATTTGTCCAAATTAATGATTCTTAAAAATTCACATGACAGCTCTTCACTAATTTGTTTAACCCTTTAGCTCTTCCAGAAGACCTAAATTACTGGCATTCCAGAAGTTCATGCGTGGATGTTAGCACATGTGATGCAACCACAATGAGCTGCCGGTGGCCCAAACATACGCTCCAATGGGTTTGTTGTTTATCCTGACCGCATTGCCTCTAATCTTTAAGAGTGCCTGCAGGGATGCAAAACAAAGATACATCATTATAATCCTCCGAGAGTTTGCTTGGCACTTAAATTTGCAGGTGAAAGCTCCTGGTAAGTTGCTGGCTTATAGCAATGGTTTCCTGGATACCTGCCTTTGTGGAAGCAAGCGGAGCATGAAACGGTTCATATTTTCATTGAATGGTTTTGCAGCTCCAAGTTTACATAGACAATATGACAGTTTACAATCCAGTTCCAGTTGAACGAAGTTGAGTGTCAATTAGCATTTTAAAGGCCTAATTTCCTGTGGAGCAAGATTATAAAGCTCTGTGCACACCTTTTAAGCACTTGTTTTAAAAGACTGTTGAAAATAGTATGATTAGATTCCCAAATTAGAACGCTTTCAAAGCCCCAACGAAAACTGTACAGTCTCTGGCAGTTTTCTCTCTCGGGTTTTGGATTGCTCTTAAATACAGGTTGCCATACAAAGGACACCCCGTCCACCTACACATAGATTCGCACTCTTTAAAAGTAACTAATCTATTTTGAAACCATGCCATAAAACATAATCCAAGTGCTAAGGGCAATTGCGAATCATGTCTGTGAGATGCTGCATGGTCTATTGCACAAAAGCACAAAGAGACCATTAGCATCATGTTATGCAGTATATTTTTTTATGTCCTCATCATACATTGTCTTAATCTATTACATTTAATATTAAATTCACACTTTTTGAAGATGTAAACCATATTACTTCCAAATTAAGTGAACAAAGGGGGTGAATTTTAAAGATGTAAATACTCTGGTTTGAATGTATGTTGCCAATTTTACTAGCTGGGCTAAGTAATTGCGCTACGCTAACTTCTAAAAGCTTCTAAAACCCAACAACCTTCTCCAACATGTTAGCCTTTTGTACATTGGTGGACGAAGTACTCAAATCAAGTAGGCTACTTGAGTAAAAGTACAGATACGTATGATAAAATATTACTTCAGTAAAAGTATGAACACTCCTTTTCTATTTTACCTGAGTTAAAGTACAAAAGTAGTTTATTTTTTTTAAGTAAAAAGTACTGATTGATGAATGTTTATTTTGTAATTTTATATAGGCTACTTGTATAATTTAATTTTATATTATATATTTTATATAATCCTACTGATCCAAATACCTGGGTTTTTATCAAAATAACCACTATATGGAGTTAAAGGTCCCCTGAAATGCTTAGAAACACGCTGCGTTACTCTGTGTTGACGTCATTTTAACTGAAACAGGAAGACAGGGCGGGACATAAAGCAGCCCCGCCCCTTTTTAAAATAGCCAATAGCGTTTGCTTATATCACAGCTTGGGCTAGAGCCGTTGAGCTCCGTAAAGCCGCATTTGACAGGGTATGCCAGCCACAATCTCATCCATATTGCTATAAAATATAGCATTCTGTGTAGAATTCAAATAGCTCCGATACATTTTGTGGTCTGCGCCGACTCGCGCATGTGATCCGCTCCGTGCTATCGTGTCTCTGGACCGGAGCAGAGTGTGTGTGCGGTGCGGTGGTTAGCGTGACGGTGCGAAACCAGACTTCTTTTTTTTTTCCTCAATGGAAAGCATATTTACACTGTTTGAATCGTTCCCTGTCCCCTATATAGTGCACTACGTGCCATTCACTGTACAGAAAATACTAATTCTGTGTGCCTTATAGATAACCTTAAGACTAACATATTGATACTAACACCCAAAAAACTTTAATTTTGATTTCATGGGGACTTTAAGATACATTTTTGTTGTTTCTATGGACTACGTTGACAAGAGTGATCTAGAAGTATTCACAGGTTAATTGAAAATAATCAGTTAATTCATGAATCAGATGTCACTTTTGCATCTCGGAGCACGTGACGATTTCTTCATTTCAAAATAAGGAGTAATGATATGTTTTATGAAATGTATTTGGAATGTAGTAAAGTAAAAGTTACTCAAAATAAAACTACTCCAGTAAAGTACAGATCCTTGCTACTATCCACCACTGCTTTTGTATAATCCATTAAAGTAAAAAAAAACAACAAAAAAAAACAGATCCTCAAAATAGTAAAGGAAGTAATGACAGATTGTGATGTAGATCTGAAAATATGAAAATGGATTGTGAAAAAAAGTAGTGCAGGAATTTGTTTTATCCATCAGTTGTTGATTGGAGGGAGGTATTTGGCTAAATGCAAGATTGAAGTCAGTTATAAAAAGAATTTAAGCCGACTAAATAATTGGAGATGTCTTGCATAAGTTACCAGAGAAAAGTCTGCCATTTCAGCAGAAGATTGAGCCATTTTGATGAAAAATTACGAGCTCAAAATAACAAATTAAACTCATACATAGATGAATCATTAAAGAAGGATTGAATCAATTCTGTGATGTTTTGTGGTTGTTTTAATTTTGTTTGTGTCACTCAAAAGGTATAGAGATCAAAAGCAACTGCATAACAGGAACAACCCATTAAACAGAACAAAAGACTGGAATGGAAGAGACGGAGTAGGAGACCATATAATAAGGTAAAAAAAAAAGAAAAAGTATGACATTCCAGCCCAGATGAGAGACACACTTCATGCTTTCATTTCTCCTGCTCGGCTGGAGAACCTTACGAGGGTCTCTCTAGTGCCCTTGCTGACCATTAAAAGCAACTAATTGGAGCCCAGAGACAGAGAGCTCCGAGGGCTACAGAAACCTCTCAAAGAAAAGAGTTCCCAGAGAAGCTCTCTACAAGGAAAAAAAAGTAAATACTACTGCAGTTTTGGACCACAGTCCACCATGTACCTTCTTGCTACTCAAACTCAAGGGAGAAAAACAAAAAAGAGAGGGAAAAAGTCTGGCTTCTGTCTGGTGATGGGTTTCTAGGATGTATGGTTTTCTCCGAGTCATCATTCTTGAGAGATTTGAACTATGGCCAGAAAACTGCTCTCCTTTCTTCTTTTCCCTTTTCTTCTCTAATCTCCTGTGTGGTGGTCTTACGAGCATGGACTACAGCATTTTAGTTTTAGCAGATTTGTCCACATACATTTGTAGCTACATGAACAGCCTCTTAATGGGATCTCTGACTAGCATACAGTGACATTAAGAAGCGATTTCATTTACCTTCCTGAATGAACTGTTCATTCAGGAATAATGTACTGTTAGCTGGTCATTAACGCTAAATAAACCCAGACAGGGTGATCAGGACCTTGGCATGAAGCAGACTGCTCTTGTATCACTCTGAGGGGTTTATTCTCCACTAATGAGTGGCTAACCGCTGGCTACACAACTACTTATAGCTACAAATAGATAAATACATGGTCAGGTAACTAATTTAACTTGTCCAGATAAGCTAATTTACAACATTTATAGTTATTCATTTAGCAAACACTT